ACAGGATCTCTCCGATCCCGGCTCACAGGATCTCTCCGATCCCGGCTCACAGGATCTCTCCGATCCCGGCTCACAGGATCTCTCCGATCCCGGCTCACAGGATCTCTCCGATCCCGGCTCACAGGATCTCTCCGATCCCGGCTCACAGGATCTCTCCGATCCCGGCTCACAGGATCTCTCCGATCCCGGCTCACAGGATCTCTCCGATCCCGGCTCACAGGATCTCTCCGATCCCGGCTCACAGGATCTCTCCGATCCCGGCTCACAGGATCTCTCCGATCCCGGCTCACAGGATCTCTCCGATCCCGGCTCACAGGATCTCTCCGATCCCGGCTCACAGGATCTCTCCGATCCAGGCTCACAGGATCGCTCCGATCCCGGCTCACAGGATCGCTCCGATCCCGGCTCACAGGATCGCTCCGATCCCGGCTCACAGGATCGCTCCGATCCCGGCTCACAGGATCGCTCCGATCCCGGCTCACAGGACAGGTTGACTGTTCACTTATATAATTATAGTATACAGTAATTAGCTGAGTCATGGTTTTTTTCCTGGTTCAGACAAAGCAGACAAACAAAACCCTGGAGTGATATGATCTGAGGACGACCCGCCAGTTCCGGGCTCGTTAATCAGTAGGTGCGTTCAGCTGTTGGTCACCTGCTTCCCTGCTTACGTGACAAAACCCGAGAGGTATCCAGAATGGGTGGCAGAGGGTGACAGGGAGCTGTACAGAGCTGTGTATCCGGTGTACAGTCACAGCGCAGTGCTGGTCAGAGGATCCAGTTTGGCTTTGTCATTCTGTAGGGGAAGTGAGGACAAAGGATTAGGTGGTGGGGGGTGGTCAGCAGCGGGGTGGAAGGGGCAGAAGAATGCTAGGTCTTCTCTTAATTGGTACCAGGAGGCCGTGTTGGATTATGTTACTCTTGTGTTGTTTTGTTGCACGCTTGTCCCACTGATTGCAGCAGAAGTCTCTTCCTTTGTTTCCTTTGTCCGCTATCTAGCGCCGGCTTGACCTCATTCTGTTATTTCATACAGAACGGGCTGTAGATCGAGGGCCATGGCTCCAGACAAGCTGGATGGAGAGCAGCAGGAGGAGAACAGTCTTTATGGAGCTACTGCAGGAGAAGAGGAAGAAGACCAAGGTCTGAGGTGAGAGGATGCATCATATCTCAGTTCTTTGTATACTTGTGTGTGGATTGTTATGTGTCAGCACATCCTTGTCTGCGGAAGTGTCTGTACGCCAAACTTGGTAAACAGAGCGTGGAAGTGGCATAGAGCGCCCCCACAATATGTGTATAACACAGACATAGGTGGACAACTACTTCAGGGGGGGCTCATCAAAACCAGCTGTGCATACTGACCAATCCGCTTGTTGAATTAAAGTAGTCTAAAAAGTAAATTATTATTATTATTATAATACAGGATTTATATAGCGCCAACCATTTGCTCAGCACTTACCGCAGGTAAGGGGAAAAAAAACATTTAAAATCTCCTCCAAGTTAATGTCATAATGTGCTAGTATACATCGCGGCGTACTAGTACATTATGAAGTACCTTAACCCCTTACCCTCCTGAGGATTTACCCCCCTCTTCCTGACCAGGTAATTTTTTGCGTTACGGCGCTGTGTTACTTTAACTGACAATTGCGCGGTCATGCAACGCTGCACCCAAATTAAATGTACGTCTTTTTTTTTTTTTTTTTCCCCATGAATTGAGCTTTCCTTCAGTGGTATTTGATCGCCTGTGTGGGTTTTTTTTCTTTTTTGCACTATAAGCAAAATAAGGCCGACAATTTCAAAGAAAAACAATATTTTGGACTTTTTGCTATAAAAAAAAACTACAATTTTGAGAGAAAAAAAAAAATATTTTAGACTTTTTGCTATTAAACATGTCCAGTAAAAAAATCTAATTTCGACAAATTTAGGCAAAAATGTATTCTGCGACATCTTTGCTAAAAAAAAAAAAAAAATCCCAATACGTGTAAATTAATTGGTTTACGTGAAAGTTAACGTTTACAAATGGTGGTATAGATAATGGGATTTTTTTTTTTTACTAGTAATGGCGGCAATCAGCGACTTTTAGCGGGACTGCGGCGGACATTCTAACACTGGGGGGGGGGGGAACTAACTTGGTGTCACTGACATCTCAGTGACACTAATACAGTGATCTGTGCTAAAAAAAAAAAAAAAAAAAAAAGCACTGACACTGTATTAATGGCACTGGGGAAGAAGGGGTTAATGTGAGGGGCGATAAAAGGGTTAGCTGTGTGTGTTTTTACTAGGGGGCGGGGGAGGGTGTTTTTCACTGTAAGCACACTGATCGGGATGGCTGTACTGTGCAGTGTGCCTGAGCTGGCAGGGAGGAAGATTGTCAACAAAACAATCTTCCTCCCTGTCGGAGATGCTCAGTAATCACCGGGCGCCGGCGAGCAAATGCCAGGTAGGACTTGGTGATTTGACATCCGCGAATGGCAGTGTGGGTAGGGTGTGTGCGCCCCCTACTCGGAAATGCAAAATCACATATATACGTGATTGTGCGCACAGGTGCCGCCCTGTAGCAGTATATCTGCTGTAGGGTGGTCCTTAAGCGGTCAAAATGAAGCCCTCCAGTGGCACTCTGTCACTGCTTCAGAGGGTTCCATCTTCAACCCATCTTCCTTCCAGGTTCACAAGCTCTGGCCATCCGACTGGCCGAGCCACGATGATGTCACTCCCACGTATGCGCATGGGAGTCCTGGGCCACGGCACAGAACTCTGAAGGTATGGCAGGGGTATGCCATTCCTTCAAAGCACATGCGCCGGCTCTAAGAAACAGCGAACATCTCCTAAATAGTGCAAGTTTAGGAGACATTAATTTTACCTACAAGTAAGCTTTATTGTAAGTAGGTAAAAGTAAAAAAAAAAAATAAGTTTACTACCACGTTACACCTCTGCAGTTTTCAGTGTAACACATTGAGGACAGCAAAATAAACATTTCCAAGTAAACTTTTTTTTTTTTTGCTACAATTCTTACCCCAGAATTTGCAGTTTTCAACTGTCAACCCAGCGCTCTCTGCTCTCTGTGCTGCTGCCTTTCTTCACAGGAAAGAGTAAACGGTGGACAGTGCAGTCTCCAGTCAGTCTGTTAGCTTGGCAAAGGAAGGAGGGAGGAACTGGAGAGTGCCTTTTCATCCTAGACTATGGGTTGTGTGTTTCTATTGATGCACACAGTGTAGGGGCGTAAAATTCTAGTCCCTACATGCAAAGGTGTCTCCATAGGATGATGTAAGAAAAGTGTGCTACCATTAAACAGGAAACCTGGGTCAGTGATCATGTTATCGGCTTCAACTGGAACATAGGAAAGGATTAAAGGATAAAGAAGCTGCGTACTCAGTAAGTGATTGGATCAGCTGTTGAAAGAGGGTTTAATATCACTTTAAGCATTGAAAATAAAATATAGAAGCTGATTGGTTGTTGCTCCAGATATCAGTTGCTTCATTTTAGATAAAACTGTATGTCCTTTTTTATATTTTATTTTTTTTTTTTTTTCTGCTCCAGCTACTTGAAGTTTACAACTCTGTTCATTACTGTGCTACTCTCATGATACCTACACTGACAGCAACACGTCAATACAAAGTGGGCCAATGTAAATTTGCTATAAAAAGTTTACAGTCTGAAAAAAAAATCAGTTTCAGCTTTTTACTAAAATACAATGTTTTGTTAAATTAATCGTAGAAAGTATTACATTTTGGTTTAACCACTTTCCTCCCGCCCTATAGCAGAAATACTGCTACAGGGCGGCAGGGCTGTGCAAAGTCGCGTATGTATGTATGTGTGTATACATGTCGCGTATGTATGTATGTGTGTATACATGTCGCGTATGTATGTATGTGTGTATACATGTCGCGTATGTATATATGTATGTGTGTGTATATTTATACCCAGTGATTGCCGTGTAACGCAGACGGAGGAGAGACCTGTGTGTAAACAACACAGGTCTCTCTCTTGCCAGCAAGGACATGCTGCTTTGTATTTCTATGCACAGTAAAGAAATACAAAGCAGTATGTCTTCGTAGTAAAACACACAGAATATGATGTAAAACAGCACATAGTTAACCCTTTGATCGGCCCCAGATGGTAACCGCTTCCCGCCCAGTGTCATTAGTAAAATGTCGGTGCTTTTTAGCAATGATCACTGTATTAGTGCCACTGGGGATGTCAGTGGCAGTTAGTCATTTTGCCCCCCAGTGTCAAAATGCCCGCCACAGTCCTGCTATAAGTCACTGATTGTCGCCATTACTAGTATAAAAAAATGTAAAAAATTCCAGTATCTACACCGCCATTTGTAGACGCTGTAACTTTCACGTAAACCAATTAATTTACACGTATTGGGATTTTTGTCAGCAAAGACATGGAGCAGAATACATTTTGGCCTAAATTTATGAAGAAATTAGATTTTGGATTTTTTTTTTTTTTTTTTTTTACTGGACATGTTTTATAGCAAAAAGTCAAAAATATTGTTTTTTTTTTTTAAATTGTCTTTTTTTGTTTATAGCGCAAAAAAATAAAACACCGCAGAGGTAGAAAGCTTTATTTGAGGGTTAAAAAGTACATAAATATAGTTTATGTACAACGTTGCATGACCGCGCAATTGTCAGTTAACCTCTTGCTGACCGCGCATAGCCGAATGACGGCTTCACCGTGGCCGGCCAGTTCTGAGTGGACGTCATATGACGTCCTCCCAGAACGCGCTCTCCTGCGCGCCCCAGGGGGCGCGCACCCGGCGATCTCCGTGATCGCTGTGTCCTACGGACACAGCTGATCACGTGATGTGGTGAAAGGCCGATCCCACCGGCCTTTTACCACGTGATCAGCGGTGTCCAATGACACGCTGATCACAGGGAAATGCAAGTGCCGGTTCTCGGCTGCACTTTCCTCACGCTGTCAGATCGTGAGGAAAGTACTGCCGAGAACCGGCAGTTGTCAGAGCGGGGATCGGCACCGATCATCAGGGCACTGATGATCAGTGCCCTGATGATCGGTGCCCAGCAGTGACACCCGCAAGTTCCGCCCAGCAGTGCGCCCACTAGCCCTGCCCACCCGTTCCCAGCAGTGCCCCCACCTGTGCCCAGCAGTGCACCCACCTGTGCCACTCTGCAGTGCCACCTACCTGTACCCAGAAGTGCCACCTACATGTGCCCACCTGTGCCCACCCACCTGTGCCCACCCACCTGTGCCCACCTGTGCCCACCCACCTGTGCCCACCCACCTGTGCCGCCCACCAGTGCCGCCCACCAGTGCTGCCAGTCAGTGCCACCAGTCAGTGCCCAGGGATTGTGCCAGTCAGTGCCGCCAGTCAGTGCCCAGAAGTGATGCCAGTCAGTGCCGTCTATCAGTACCCATCATCAGTGTCACCTATCAGTGCCGCCTATCAGTGCTGCATATCAGTGCCGCCTATCCGTGACCCCTAATTAGTGCTGTCTATCAGTGCCGCCTATCCGTGCCACCTCATTAGTACTGCCTATCGGTGCCCTTTAGTGCTGCCTATCAGTGCCCATCAGTGCCGCCTATCAGTGCCCATCAGTGCCGCCTCATCAACGCAAATCAGTGAAGGAGAAAAAAATGCCTGTTTGAAAAATTTTATAAAAGAAACAAATAAACTTTTTTTTTTTTTTCAAATTTTTTGCACTTTTTTTTAATTTATAGCGCAAAAAGTAAAGCGCCCAGTGGCGATTAAATACCACCAAAAGAAAGCTCTATTTGTGAGAAAAAAAATGATCAAAATTTCATATGGGTACAATGTTGCATGACCGCGCAATTGTCAATCAAAGTGCGGCAGCGCTGAAAGCTGAAAATTGGCCTGGTAAGGAAGGGGGTATAAGTGCCTGGTAGGCAAGTGGTTAAAATAACGCTGCGCCCTATCACAAAAAATGGCCTGCTCAGGAAGGGGGGGGTAAGTCCTCTGGAAGGGAAGTGGTTAAAAGAAACATGAAATACACACATTCTTAGCATGTCCGAATGTTGTGCATTCACAGATTTATTGATCGTTTATTTTTTGTAGTTGCTCAGTTGCTAATGTCTATTTTGCCTTCTCACCACAAGCAGTGATATATTCTGCTGCATCACCTCCGAGTTTGTGGCCAGTGATTTTGTTTTTAACTACTTTAATACTGGGCACTTTGACCCCCTTCCTGCCCAGGCTAATTTTCAGCTTTCAGTGCTGTCGCCCTTTGAATGACAATTGCACGGTCATGCAACACTGTACCCATATGATACATGTTTTTGTTTTTTTTTTTTTTACTTTAACACATTGTGACCAGAGCAATATATTGTATTACTCTGGGGAACTGATCAGGATGTTTGTTTGTTTTTTTTTTTTTAAACACATTATGATTGCTTATACCAGTGCATTTCACTGGTATAAGCAACCATTTTTACTGAAAGAAATTGATTCATTCAGTGTTTACTATTATGGATAGCTGTGAGTGACCATATCTAATTACATGGTACGGATTGGCTGTGATTGGCCCTGTCTATATCATGTGATCACTGTCACCAATCACAGCGAGCAGCACAGTAGTACACAATAGATGGCATGAATGAAAGCCATCCATTGTGTATAATTGTCAAGTGATTTACTGTGATTGGTCACAGCAAACACACGGCACCAGCAGCGGCCAGTACACTGATCGGTTATCTGCTGTGTCCGGGGATCACAACATCCACCCAGAACAGTGAATGTCCTGCTGGTCATCATTTGACTATAGGCAGGGCAGGAACTGGTTAAAGAAAAATTAAAGGCAAAACATTTTTTTCATTTTGGATAGAGTAAAAGGCTTGTTCACACCAGAAAGCAGTGCAGAAAAGGAACTTTCCATGCGCATTTCCCACACTGCGCTCACAACGCATTACCTTTTGTGATTTGCTGTGGGTACCAGTGTAATATTTACAGCACACCAAATGCAGATCACAAATGCAATGTATTTGCAGGCACTGGATTGCATGGCACCATAGTACCATAGTACCATGCGATTTGGTGCAGTGCATTTTTGAAAAGTAGAGCATGGACTAGTTTTTTTGGAGTTCCATTGTGATTTGCAGTCCCTTCCAAATGAATGGGTTGCAAAGTCTCACTGCATGGGAATCAAGAGGAATCACACAGGAAAACAGGCCGCATTTCTGTGTGATTTTTAGATGTGAACTGGTCTGTATGGGAGGATTTATAACTACGGTTAGGTTTTGTTTTCTCCGTTTGTGTATCATTGGGGAGATTTCACTTCACTTCCTGACCCATAGCCAAAACAGGAAGTGAGAGGAAATCCCTTCAAATTTCCCCTCTTTTACTGTTTTAGTGGCAACTTAAAATTTGTGGGTTTTTTTTTTTTTATTACTTTATGGTGATAAAGGTAAACAGAAGAACAGTAGAAGGTGAATCTCCCTAACTGGGGCTCAGATGGCAATAAAAAACCTGACTGGTTTTCGAATCCCTCTTCACGCTATCCAAAATTTAAAAAAAATTGTGTACTTTTATATTTTCTTAAAGGCTTTGATCATGTTCATTTTCTGTTAAGGCTTTGATCATGTTGTTTGCTGTTGGTGAGAGAGGCTGGTGTATCTGGTAAGAGCAAGTTGTAGCCTGCCTGGACAGTTTTGTGCTCTGACTTGCATTTCACAAATTGTATGAGAGTCCTAAACAGCATACCGTAAATCATTACCATTTATGTACCTGTGACTTAGGCTTGGTTCACACCTATGCTTTTTGCTTTCTATCCGTTTTTAATGCTTTTTGCATTGTGCTTTGCATTTTTACATGCTTTTTTTTTTTTTTATGCATTTTTCCTGCATTTTGTGTTTTTTTTTTTTTTGTTTTTTTTTTTTTTTTCTTTTCTTTCTTGTTAAAGTGGACATTTGTCTGTTGCTGGGAAGAAAAAAAATGCAAAATGGTGCATTTTTGCTTTAATAGACTTCAGGGGAGATGCTGCAAAAAAGTATGCAGAGCGTTTTTTGACACATTTTAATCTGCTCAACAACAAATTGATTTAACCCCTTCACGCTGCCGCCTCCCATTCCTTTAAGGGTTCCAGAAGCTGGGAGTTAGGGTCATGTGACCGCCATGACGCGCCGTCACGGCGGTCACGTGATCGGGGAAAGGTCCAGATCGAAAGAGGAGATCAGGACCTTTCCGTGAGTACCGGACATGTGTGCTGGCAGTGCTCGGGGCACACGCTCACAGCACATATGTCCTTTTTTATTTGCACTCAAATGTGCAGCCGCTTGGCGTCTAGGCCAAGACACTGGGAGGCCGCACATTTGTCTGCAGCCGGCGTGAAGAGGTTAAAAAGAAAAGCACAGAAAATGCAAAACGAATCAAGAAATGCATGTGCCGAAACGCACTGCAGAAACAGATCACAAGCAAACTGCATAGGTGTGAACCGGGCCTTTGGATAGCTCGCCTGTAATGGGGAACAGAAGACTGGTCTGCATCCACTTACTGTAGTTGGAACAGAAGAGAATAGTAATTAATCCGCTCTTCATTTCTTACAACAAATACAGTATATTACAAAGGTGATAAAAGAAACATTGCACTCTTGTAGACATTTCTGTCAGAATGATAAAATCTCCTTTACCCTAGGTTCACATCTATGCGGGGGGTGCCGCTGCGGATCCGCACGAAAATCCGTGCAGCCGTACCACCCGCACAGAGAAATGCAGACCCACGTGCAGGTGCCACTAGTTCTAATGGCACGCCGTCCGCACTGGAAAACACAACCGTACTGGGGACCGAGGTGCCCGTGCGGGCTGCTTTTTCCAAATAAGTGCAGGGACTTCTTCCCTGCGGGTCATGGGCACAGGAGTCCATTCAAATGAATGGGCTCTCGTGCCCGTGCAAAACGCAGCCCGCACGGCCGCATATATGTGAACCGGGGGTTAAGTAATAGGAATATCTAAAATAGATCTTACCGCAGAAAGGAGTAACACACCATGACGTATGAATTGCTAACATTACAGGAGAAGTATAGGGTTTCCAAAAAAACAATTATACTTGCCTAGGTGGATGATGCATCGGTCCGATGCTGCATCTTCCCCCGCCGTTTCTAAGAATGAGAACTGAGCGATCATAGACCGCTGATCTCTGTGTTCTCCAAACAGAGAATGGTGACTGTCAGCCACCGCTCTCTGCTCTGCCCCTCCAGCGCACACTGAAGCCCTGGGCTGTGGAGGGGGGTAGCAGGAGCTCCTGGCTGAGTCTTTCACCGACCCGCTGAGAGGCTGAGCTAGCTGCCGGTCCAGGCATCTGGGTGGATCCCAACTTTAAAGTTGGGATCTTTCCAAAGCCTGGACTGGCTGAGAGGCATTAATCGACAGCTGGCTGAAAACAGGTCACAGGAGTGCGGAACGAGCTCCTGTGGTCTATTAGAGAAATATAGCTTTGGCCATACTTCTCCTTTTTAAAAAAGAACTTGTACAACATATACATGTGCCATTTACCTCTTGCCGCCTATGTAACACATGCAGTATATGCAGCTGCAGAGATGACTGGCTTTAACACCCACATGTGGCACATATATGTCCTTGGGTGGCCTAGGCTGCTGTGCTGAGAGCGCATTCATAGGCTTCTGATCATGTGACCACTGTGATAGCCAATCAGGGGTCACATGATAGAACCTGGGTTGGGTGGTAAAATATCAAACATTTTTAGATGTACACATGGAAGTTTTCAGAGTACGATTTGGTTTTTAACACCCTTCCCGCCCAGTCTATAGCAGATTGACGGCCGGGCGGGACACTAGCCATTGTGACTGGGCGTCATATGACGTGCTGTCAAAACAAGCCACTCATGTGGCCTCCACGATCTGTCACTGACCAATCACAGCAGATCACATGTCAATTGTTTACAATGGATGGCTTCCTGTCATACCATCCATTGTATACAATTACGTTGTTAGCTGTGACTGGTCAAGGCAGTCACATGATACAAACAGGGCCAATCACAGCCCATCTGTATCATGTGATCAGATTTGCCCAATCACAGCTAATCACAACAAAAGACTGAATGAATCAGTTTCATTCAGTAAAAATGATTGCAAATATC